TGTATCTCCACTATATGAATGTTTTTGAGAATAAATTATTTAAAACAGAAGGGGTTTGTTGTGTGTTTGTTTGTTTTGGTCAGGTTTGTTTTGTGTGTGTATGGCTGTGGTTTTTGTTTTGTTGGTTTTGGTTTGGTCCCCCCCCCACCCGAACGTAATTTAAAATTGAGGCAGTGACTTCCCCTCTTCTTGGATGTTTTATGATATGAAATACCAGCTTTATGATATAGCATCTTATCCTTAGGAGACCCAAAAATTATGTAACAAAACCAAGTGAAGGTCAGAGACAAAGATCTTTGATGAAAGATCAGATATAAAAGCCGAGGTGTTACTGTTAGAGGAAATGTGTTACTCTGTGTTACAAAAGTGTTACAGCCAGGGAAGGTAGGAAATCGAACAGCCTCAGCAAAAACCCTGAGTCAGCAGTGCTTGTGCTGAGAGCTGTCTCCAGTCCTTTTCAATCACCTAATATTCCCAGGCTAAGCAATTTTATTGATGCTATTCATTCTTCTTCCAAAGGACTCACAATTTCTTACATAACATTAAACCTATAAAGAAACAACAACAAACCCAAAAAAACCCCAAAAAACCCCAAACACAAAAAAAACTCCAAACAAACAAACAAACAAAACACAAAAAGAAAAGAAAAAAAAATCAAGCAAAAATATAATGGTAAATATAATGTCCTCTCCCAGTCTCTGTATTGGCATCATTTCCTCTGTAGAAATTGAATCCCTGCTGCCATTGCTATTGATTGTGCCCAGAAGACACTTGCCTGTGTACTAGGTTTCCATAAGGAATGGTTGGATTACAGGAAAGCTTATTTTTAAGTTTTGTAGGGAAGAATTTATTTCCATTACTGAGGTTTTCATTGCTGGGCAGAGAGTTGATTAAAATAAGTTTACTGGAGCTTGAGCTGAAACAATTTTATAGTCTGCTTTAATCTTTGGAAGTTTGAAAGTCTGGACAAAAGCAGAGAAGGACTGAGATAAAATGGATGTGGCATCTGAGTGCTTCACAAATGGACTGGAGCAAAATGAGGGGATGAGTGTGACCTGAAACCTGAGACTGAGTGCTGAGTTTTTGGTGTTACATGGCCTATGGCCCATTCATACAAGGGTTTAAGAAAAGGCCGAAGAAAAGATCCAAGAGCACCCTACACAGGCTCACTTTTTCACATGCCCACTCTTGACAGTGTTTCTAGCCCAGTGGCCAGTCCTGACATTTCCAATAATGCAGTATAATCCTGGCTGGTTGAAAATGGACTAAAGCCCATGAGAATTCCTGCATGCTAGTATGTTGCTGCTGATGCACAGCAGCTGAACATCAACGTACAGTATTGGTTGCTCACCTGTGACCTCATTCAAAGTCAGAAGGAAGTGTCTGTGGCTTTAGAAGCAGATGTGATGCAGAGTTCCAGTCCTCCTCAAAAAATCCTCTGTCTTCAAAATGGGTCAGCAAGTCATTGTCAAGAATATTTACCGCTATGGTTTCTTAATGAATTAGGGAAGTTCCTAGACTTCAAAAGTTTATAGGTAAGTTAAATGATAGGACAGACACTTAACTCTTGGGGTGGTGACAGGGAGAAAAAGTGACCTGTGAACAATTTCAAAATAATTTCCTAATTAACTATATTTGGAAAAAAATGCAGAGAGTACTCTATAGAAGATTAAAGGTCTTTGGTAGGTTTTAATTAAAATGAAAGCAGAGGACATCTATTTTCTTGAAAAGGTTTCATATTTTAAACAGTGCTACTAGCCTTAAATATTAATAAGACCTATTTAAAAATCATAAAATAAGAAAGGGAAATTACTTTGCCCTCACTTTTCAGATGCATTTTGTCCAGTTTACTCTTTCTCCACAAAGCAAGACCCTCCAGTGATGGTTTTGTCCAGAGTACCACATTTTAAATGAAAGGCAGATTTCCTTCCACTGATCTCTCCTGCTGTGCAGTTCAGGGTAGCCCATTTGAGAAGGGGAATCTAACCAAGCAATTTCTCTGAGGCTCACCCTAAATGATGGTTCAAGATCTTTTTTTTGAAAAGTCTATTGTAACAAGAATAAAAATAAGCCCTTCCTCAAATGTAGCAGAAAACACAGAGCTGAAGTCTCTTCTGGAATTCAGCTGGGGACTGGAGTAAGATCCTGGAGCACTAGCACAGGTTTTCAGCCCCATCTTTCGGTGGGATGCATCTCTGGGTGTGTATCTCCCATCCAGGGTGTGGTGAGCCAGTGAAAAGAGGTGGAAGCTGTGCCTAGTCTTTGTTCAATGCAATCTCATAGCAGAAATACAAGACCCTGGGAATGGGAGGCATTTTTTCACTTCCAAAGAAATCCGATTGACGTGTTACAAGGAATCACTGAAGCTGTGACTGTAGCTACACTATAGCTCTGTGGTACATCCAGGACTAACAGTCCAGGGAAGAGGCTGGGAATGATCTGATGAACATGGGAAATGTAAAGTCTGCTGTGTTAGTGTCCAGTAACATCTTGCCTGTTTGCCTTTGAGCTGGACCATACTCAGAGTAAGCCAGAGGGATGAAAGATACTTGTAACTCACAGCTGCTAACAAACGGGTAAATAATGCAAAAGCATTAGGAATGTCATAAAAACAGAATTTGCAAAACATGAATTAATAAACTTGAAATATGCATTTCAACATCTCAGTGTCAGGAAAATAGCAAGGTGAACTGAAAAACTGAAACAGCCTCAGAAGGAGGACATGATGGCAAAACCAAAAAGTAGCATGGCTGAGATGGCTAACAATACAGATGGGAGACTAACTTAAGGTTTTCTAAAATAGATATGTCCCAGTGTATGGCTTCAAATAAAAGAGCAGTAAGACAGAAGAGATCCTGTAATTACTGCATAAGAAAGGGCAGAAGAAAGATTCAGCATCTAATTGCTCATTAATCTGCCTGATTTTGTTTAAATATCCATCAGGACAAGGGTCAAGGTGTGCTCCTCACAGTGGTTTGAACTGGTGGGCATGGCACAGCACCTGCTTAGGTCGTGCACCCTTTCCATGGGATTGGAGGCACCAAAAGAGGTCAGGCAAGCTGGATCTGTGTCTGATGAGTGGGTGACCAAAGGGATGGAGAGGTAACATCTGCCAGAAGGTCAAGAGGACAGGGGAACTGAATGCCTGTCCACAGCTCCTATTATGGGTATGGGACTTCAGTTCTGATGGATGAGCTGGTGGAGAAACCTCAGTTAGAAGCAGACTTTGGTTATCAGCCTGTGTTTTGCATTTCAGGGAGGGTCAATACTTCCAAGCAGCCTATCCATCAGGATTCTCCCAGTTTGGTCTTTACCATCTGTCCTTTGGTAATGTAAAACTCAGCCTTTCATCTTCTCATTAACCTGTACTCCCACTGGAACTATTGTATGAAGTATAATAGTTCCAGTTGAAATATATGTGGAAAAGAGTTTAGAAATATATTCTTGAATAGCCTTGTGGTGCATTTGGGTGTGAACTAGACTGTTGACACCCTGAGTGCAGACTCTGTTTCTGCTGCCAGCTGCAGTCAAGATGCTGTTGGAGGCTGGTCATGGGAATGGGTACCTGAGAGGGGCATGGTAAAGGAGGTGGTGATGATGGCTCCAGGGTGCAGCTTCAAGGGCACAGGTCCGTGCAGTGCTGATGTAGCAAGTATCTAAGGGCAACTGAGGCAGGACTAGACATGGAGGGATAAATTCTTGCTGCAGAGGCATCAGAGGAGGCCAAAGAATAACCTTTGTTCCACTCAGCTTTTAACTGCTTCCTTTCAGGTGTAAGAAAAAGATCTGGGCATTTCAGACCGTGAGGTTAGGTTGATAATGGCTCTTATCCTGAGAATGTGAGTCACAAAAAATGGAGCCCAGCCAGAGAGATGCCCACCCTCAGTGCTCTCAGATATCCACTCTCAGAGGCAGAGCTGAAGCCTTGGTTTTCTAGATCTGTTTTCTCCTGTTTGTCACCTGTGTACCTTGTGGGTATTAGAAAACCAGGAGTTTACATTTGTACCAGTTCTGCGTTCTCATGCATTACCATCTACAGATGGGTTGCAAATTACTGTCTAAAGAGTGCAGTGTCCTGTTTGGAACACTGCATGGTATTTCAGACTGAAGGTGCAGCACTGCCTGCATGTTAGCAGAAGAGCCTTAGGAGCATGGGAATCACCTGGACTGATACATGACCGCAGCTCTGGTCATTATACCTGATTGCAGCCTTAAATTCAGATAGTATTTTTGAAAAAGGGAATTTGGAAATCAGGCATGTGATAAATGCAGTGTTGGCCCTGCACAGTTTCTGATTCCTCAGAGGGGATTGCACAGTGATGTGCAGATGGTCAGTGACTCCAGTGGGCCACTGTGTGGGGAAGGGTATTTTCAGGGTAGGAGCCACAGGTGGTCAGTGCTTTGGTTCTGATACAGTCTCTGATCACTTGTGTGCACCAGTCAGCAGCAGTGAAACCAGTGTTGTACCACAGAAAATGTGATGGTTTTGTGCCGTCAAATTGTCAATCAAGTAAGTGCATTATAATTAGGACGGCAGGCACAAACTCATACAATTCTCAAATATTTTTAAGCAAAAAGAATTCAGGATTCCTACCCTGGTAAAAGCCCCTGCTTTGCCCCACATTAATATTTGGTTGTTTTTATAGGAAACTAAAGTCTGTGATGGCCTTGAAGTTGTATTTGTGGGTTTTGAAGTGGTTAGGTAGTTCTCAGAAGAGGATACTGGAAAGTAAGAGACTTGCTGATGTCATTTTTATTTCACCATCAGTACTCCAAAAAAAAAAAAAGCTGAGAGAGGTGTTGGTGGCCCTATATAAGGTGCAGCTCACCTCCTGCAGAGCATGCCAAGAATCACAGCAAAGGTAAGGCTTGCAGCCCTTGTGCTGCTCTCACTTTGCTTCACCCGCTCTCCTTGGTGCTAACGCTGCCTTCCCTCCTCACATCAGTGCTGAGCCTCACGTCTGCAGCCTGCTGGGACGGACAACTCCAGACTCTGAGACATGGCCTCCCTGCACACCTTTTCCAAGAGCTTCCCAGGATGGGTTTTCTTCTGCTGTTGTTGCTGTCTCCCTCTTCTTCTCACCAGCTCTCTCCCTCTGAAAGGGGCTTCCACTGCCCATCATGCCTGCAGGCTTAGGAAGATCAACTTCCAGCAGCCCTACATCAGGAATCGCACCTACACCTTGGCTAAAACGGTACAGTCATCCGTGTGCTCTTTGTGGTGGGATCTGAGGACCTACTCCTCTGTTGGTGCTGTGGCTTCTAGCCTTTGGCATTCCTCCCTCTTTCCCCCGCTTTTCTCTAGAAAAAAACAAACAAACAAACTGTAGATTTGCAGTTAAGGCAGAGTTTGGGTGTGTGCAGCAGATCCATTGCCTGCTGGCTGTGTAGCCAGGAGAAGCTGCTGCCTCTCCTCCTGCTGCTCCCCAGGGGAAAGTCAGCCCCTGGAACAGCACAGCTGCTTCTTTTCAGGCAGCTGTTACCAAAGTGGGTAAATTGTGAAATATGACATTAAATTTCTCAGTTTGCTCAGGCCATTTGGAGCTGGGCCTGCCCATGACTCCAGTCACTGCCAAGCAGATGCTCAGGTGTTCTACAGTGCTCTGCTAGGGCAGGTTTCCTGGCTGCTTTTGCATGGGTGGGTCTCCCTGGGTGCGCACCACTGAGCACTCCCAGCAGCGCTGCGGGCCACTGTGAGGTCGGCCACCTGCAGTATCTGGTTTAGTCACCATAACCACGACGACTTCTGACTTTAATGTGGGGGATACAAGTTCACACCTCGGCTTATTTATTTTCCTGTGATACTGACCTTGAATCTCACCCAGCTGAGGGGAGAAACAGACACGATGTCCAAACTTATCTACCTGTAACAGACTGTGGTGTCCATTCCCTCATTTCACCTGCACTTTCATTGCTGATGAAAACTTCTGGGTTTATTAGTAATTTTTAAGTAAGGTTTCCATCGCCACCTGACTCTTCCTTTTTTTCCTCTCAGGCCAGTGCCTCAGACAAGGACACGGACAACAGATTGATTGGGCAGCAGCTCTTTGTTAACATCAGGGTAAGCCTTACATGAGGAGCCTGCCCTTTGCATCCCTCTGCGGCACATACGATCTCTTGCCTTGATTTAACATGACCTCTTACCTTCATACATAGGAAAACAACCACTGCTACATGATGAAGAGGGTTGTGGAGCTCGTAGTGAAAGATGTTCTCCTCACTGAAGTCAAGAGCCAGTACCCTTATGTTGAGGAGGTGGCACAGTTCTTGGCATCGCTGGCCTCAGAGCTGAGCAGTTGTGTGAGTAACACTGGGTTTCTCTCCCTACGACTCCCATTGCTGCTCCTAAATCTCAGAATGCTACAAGCAGTGGCAAAAGGCAGTGATATGAAAGGAAACCTCAGATCAAAGATATGAAAGTCAGAGTTAATAGAAAGGTGTGAAAAAGAAAAAAATAGTACATTGTTGCATATAGCTGTCCATCTTATGTCTGGATATATCCTTTATTTTAGCAATTCTCAGGAAAGAGAGACCACATTGAAAAGAACCTGGAACAAATGAAGAACAAAATGGAACAGGTACATTTCCCCCAAACATTTAGAAGGAGCAGTTTCAAACCCCAGTCCTTTAGCTGGATTAAGGCTGACCTAATTATGAAACAAACTCGAGATTATTTAGGACGTGAAGCCTACAAGGGAATTAAATGATTAATGATAGATTACTGATATTTCCTCTTCTAGCCATCCCTCACTAGTCCTGTTAGCTCTCTGCAAATGTTATGGTAATTTAAACCTTAAAAAATTAGGTTTCAGGAAACTTATATTCTAGTCTAGATTTGAACAAACTAGTTTATATCTTATGATATAATGACACTAACAGAACTGTGTAACAGAATTAGGAAAGTAAGTTATTGATTCAGTTTCTGTGACAATCCTAATTTTCAAAAAAAATACCTAGTTGCTAAGATTTGCATTCTGCTCTTTTCTAGTTGGGAGCAAATGGAAAGACTAAAGCCATTGGAGAGCTGGATTTACTGTTTGACTACATGGAAAATGCCTGTACTGATGCCCCAAAGAAGGGAGGGAACAAGAAGAAAAACTGAAAAAATTCTGGATCAGGCTTGAAGAAATGTCTCTGCAGATCTCTTGCAATAACTCAAATTGATTAGCTGCAACTATTTCCATTCCCCCCAGATGCAGTTTATTTTTCACTTGTGTCAAAACTAGCAAACTAAGTGGGCAGAGACAGGGTGTTGCTGTCTTCTTTGAAAATGAAAACTCCAAGACACTGCCTCTCAACTGCATCCCAGGGCATTAGTTATTTATAAAAGCACTGTTCTGTCCTCCTTGTCTCCACAGGAATGAGGCAACCATTTCTGTCTTTTATACACTGAAATTTGACACCTATGAATCAGCTTTGTTTAAGGCAGTGATGTTTTGATGTGATGTTTGTTTTAGCCAGGATGCTTTGAGTCTCCTAGTTGGAAATCTCTCTTGCATATGTTGCCCTCATCTGACCTTTAACTTAAAAGTTGGTATTTCAGACTGTTTCAGAAGTAATTTTTGTCATTTGTATTTAATGGTAACTTATTTTAAGGTAATAATTATACAATACTTTTATTTATATAGATTAATTGAAAAATATCCAAGGAAATGTATTTATGAAGCTTTACCAGAAATTGACACTGCTGTGTAATATTTATATGCAGACGGAACGTTTTATAAATGCTTGCACTTTAATTTATTATAATAAATATTTTGGTCCTCAAATATTGCCATTTGTAGAGCTTTTTGTCTTTTCTTCAAACACAAGGGAGATGACACACATTTCACCTGTGGAGATGCTGGACTAGTGGCTGTATTCTTGTGCCCAGAAAGGATGCAAGATCTGCCTGGGGCTATGCTTCTTCACCTTAGCCAGCAATTCTGACTTCTCACTGGCCAGGGCTTTCTGGGGAGCATGTCAGTCAGCCTTTCTTGTAGGGGGTGGTGGGACAAATAGCATCACTCCTGAAAGCCATTGGTTTGGTTCACTGGTTCTGCCTCAGTACACACACAGACAAGATCCCCCCTTGAATAGCTGCTGTTGAAAAGTCCCAAACTGTCCCCTTGGATGCAGCTGCTAATGAAAACTCAGAGCTCTGCATTCCCACTGCCCATCCACAGCATACTGAGCACAAATGGTGTTCTGCAGCATCAGGGATATGAGAGTCCTTCAGAAGAGAATGTTTGGTGCCTGTTCTCAAGACAAACTCCAAGGTAGAAAAACTGCCAAGTCCCTGAAGCACTGTTTAATCTGTGATTTTCATGTCATGTCCTTCAACAAAATCTTCTGGAAAGAGAAAAGAGTTGCTCTGGTGTAGCCAGGGAAATTGGTGACTGGACCAAGGTAGTGAAAAGCAACCAAATAATCAGAAATTCAGAAAAAATATGTAACAGCAGATTCCAGCAACTTCTTCTTGAGCAAGGCCTTACCATTTATTCATCAGGGCAAAAAGTATCATGTCCAATTTAAAAAATGTTGTTCCTGAGCCAGAGCAAATCAAAGATGGATTTAAACCATCCATCCATACCTATTTTGAACACAGTTTATGTGAACTGAAATCACAATGCATTCTTGTGGGAAATCACATATTAAACCAGCATATGATGCATTTGGGTGATGGATGCTTGTTGCCTGTCAAACTAGGTGCATTCAACATGGTTTACATTCTCCCCACTTGCATTTGCATATCACCAGACATGATTTACATACCTGTTCACAACCAAGGCAGAAGTGGCCCATTAATGACAGGCAGCCAGGATCTGGCACTACATTACATTTTCAGGGATTTAGCCTTTATTATGTATTCAGTTGGATATGTATTTCCTTTCTTCTGGAATAAGGAATGGTGTTGCCAAGAGCTACTAGCCAGCATACTTTCTCTTATCACTCAAACTTGTGAGAACTGACAGCAAAGGAAGGGAGTTTAAACACCAAATGAATAGTTCACTTCACTGACCTTTGAGATACAGTCTTTCCTTGAACTACATCTGTCTCGCTTTATAGTCAGTGGATGGTAAGAGGAATGATACAAGTGTCATTTCTCTGGTCTGCATTAGAAGTTTATAAAGACTGTGGCTTTGGGCAGGATAACATGACTTTACCCTAAAAGTACCTGTTTTGTTCCTTAATGACAAATAAAGACCAGACCATGAGCCACATACTTGCTGTTCCTGGTTGGTAAAATCACTTCACAAATGGATAAATAACTTATTTCCTTCTTCTACTTCCTTTAGGTCTCTTCTACACTGTCCTTACTGTGTTGCTTTACCCAGAAATGTCAAATCAGTCTCAAGTTTTCCACACTGGAGCTAAACCCAGATTAAAACCCACCTGTCCACAAAAACGTAAAAATGAAGTTGACTAATTATTAACTTCTCCAACCCTAAAAGCCACCAGTTGGAAGACTCTACCACAGAAACCTCATGAGCTGGAGCCTGGAAATGCCACACAGCAAACTTTGTAGAATTTCCTTCTCAGGTTTTCTTGCAGCGTAGGTGTGACTTGAGGATGTGTGAAGGATGATGGTGATGGTCAGTTTTGAACAAAGGAAGTAAAAGTCAGAGTAGGTTTTCCTTAAACAGGAGGAAATGTCTGGGACAAACAATTACTGACCAAAAGAAAATAAAAATGTGGTTTCAGTCAGGCAAGCTGGGTTTTAATTCAGTTAATAGTTCCTGCTCAAAAAAGGAAAATCTTGCTGAAATGTTTTGTTCTGACATTTTCTAAATAGTTAGTGTTTTGGTTTTATGTGCGTTTCTTTCAAAGGTTGAAAAGAGATTTGAAAGCAAAATGAGCTGTTTCATTTTGAGTTGGACAAGTGCTTTGGGCCTACACAAAATGAATTATTTTGGCTTAATTTTCTGGTTGGACCACCAAAGAGAAACTTCATTATTCACACAGTTCTAATTCCCGTGGCCCTATTTTCATTTCCTTTTTCTGCCTCCAAGTCACGGGCTGTTTGCATTTCCCAGAGATCCTTGACTAGCAACCTTAGGGAAAGCACCTGCTCCACATTAAGGACACCTCTACTACAGGGGCTACAGGATCTCTTCCTGGGCAAAAATTCACAGACCACTCTACTGTGAAATTTGAATTTCATTGACTCTTCCTCCCCTTCTCTCACATTTGGTGACCAGAACAGGCACTTTTTCTTTTTCTACACCGATAATTTGTTCAACATTTTTAAAACTGCCTCTGAAATGTCATATTGTGAAGAGAGAAGAACCCAAAGCCTGAACAGAAGTTTCCACATCCTGCTGAGTAAGTACTGGTGACAGTTTAAGAAACATGTCTTAAATACATTGCCTGGAGTGTTACTCATTTAAGAGATTTAGATATTCAATGTATGAATATATACTCCCCAAGTGACCTAGAATAATAAAGGGCTGATATTTCCAATTTGCTGCTGGAAGTATATTCTAGGCAATGCAAAATGTTGAAGCTATGCTGCTCATAAGTCAGTGGTATGTGATTATGTCAGCTTGTGCTTTAAAGCACCCTTAGCTGCACAATTAGCTGCTCTGAAGGAGGTGTGGACTGCAGCGAGCAGAAGTAAATGCCTGACAAACTTTTCAGTCAAGGTAATGATCATAGAAAGAAGGAAAAATCTACAATCCAGTTCTGTGGGACCCTGGGTGTTATTTTTTGGGGGGTAGTGGCAGGCCACTACCCCCCAAAAAAGTTTCATAGAATAACATATTTAAGATAGAAAGTAATGCAACCTCTCAGGGAATCCAGACCAGGATTCTATTTCTAACAAACATTCAAGAATGTTTGTTAGAAAGTCAGATTTGGCTGAGGTAACTAAATACAGACTATGCTCAGGCTGGTGGCATTCTGGGGCTACATATGATTCATAGCACGTATCCATTTGTGACATCTTTTCATGGTTAACACAAAGCTGCAGGCATTATCAGATTAACTGTATGAACTTCACCACTAACAAAAGTGATAAACAGCAATGCAAGTGAAAAGATTTCTTCTCAAGTCTAGGAAATCACTCTCTCTGTTAACCTTTACATTACAAATCCCTGGCCAAACACACATACACCAATTTCTGTAGTTTAATTTGGAATTCAATGATGAATAGTTTGAAAAGATTCCTACATCTTTCCTTCCCTAAGGAGAAATTAAAATAAAAATTATATTGAGAAGAACCATTCATCCTCAGCAAACTAGCTCATGGGACTCAAACATAAATATTTTTCCAGTATGAAGGATTAAAGCACAGCATTTAGTACTTCCAGGGTCTGGCCATTTTTCTTATCCAAGTTTGATTAAAAAAAAAAAAAAGCCTATCTTCTAAACTAAAAATATTTTTTCTTCAGCTGTGGGCAGCATCGATAAAAATATTTTGAAAAAAAGCAGACTCATGAATATGTCTTTAACTAGCTTACTTGAAACTGTTTTATGGTTGTTTCTTCAAGAAGCAGTAAGGATTTTCCCCTGCAAATTGTAGCCCTAGTTTCAAATGACTGAATGCAAAGTGATGTTGTTTTCCAAAAACTGCAAAATTGCACCAATCTAAAGTTCACTTTATTCTACAGTTTTTCTTCCAAAAGACAGATTTCTGACTCCTAGTGCACATTTAAAGAATAGTGATGATGTTCCTTAGAAGTGAAAAGAATGGGGCAATCATGCATCTGTGGTAAAGTCTAAAAGCTGTGCAATCATGAGGATTGACTTTCTGATTAACCCTTGTGATGTTAGAGCTTCCCAATGGATCAGTTCATCCTGTATCTGGTCCTGCTCCACAGAAGGTAGAAAGTAAGCTCCTATTGACTTCAAAGTGTGAAAGACCAGACTTGTTGTTTGTGTACTTATAGGGTTAATTATATTACAAAAAAAAATTTGAAAAGAAAGGTTTCAACACAGATAATGGAAGTGATGATTTGGACTGTTCTGATAAAAGGCTTTTTCATGAAAATCTATTGTATAAAGACTTGCTTGAGAAGCAGAGGTTCCAAAATAAAGTTTAGATGCTGCTTGTCTTTACAATGACCTTGTATTTATTGTTGGTCTAAAAATACCCAGACCTTTTCTTACTTCTTACCAAAA